AAAGGCAGGAGGCGCCACAGGAGCTCCAGGACGTGCCCTCCCCGAGGCCGGCTTCGCCCTGGGGCCTCGTGGCCCTTCCTCCGCAGGGACCCCCGATTGGGGATGAGTGGCCAGGCTCTGCAGCCTCCAGCTTCCATCTGGCTGTCTTTCTCTGATGTTGACCATTCCTCTCCCAAATGCCCTTGTGTCCTCCGGCAAGGGGCTATCAGTGTGCCATAAGGATCCTTTCGCTTAGCAAGCTCATTCAAGCCCCGATGTCCAGCCCCAATGCGGTGCGACACATGCGCCTCTGGCAGCCCACGCCTCTCCCCCCATCCCTCCCCCGGGCTTATGGACCTTGTCTGGTTTAAGGCAAGACTTTGTGCAAAGTGGGGACAAAAAGAACTTAATTTCATCCGTGCACTCCTCCTCCCTCCCTGCCCCCTGTTTAGTTTCTAAATTAATTATCACCCAACTGGAGGTTATGGCTTTGTCCGCAAAGAAGTTTCAGGTTTGCAAAGGCATTAGGATAATGACCAGTGGATTTTAAATAAAATATAAAATAATAGAATCGGGGCATTGAAAAGCATCTGTAGCTGTGAACCAAGGAAAGTCTGAAATATTTCTGGTTGGGGGGGACTGACCTCCCAAATGGCTTTAGGGGGAGGGACTGATGTGAGGAGAATCAGAGGTCTGAGGGGGCAGCCAGACCTGTGGAATCAGCCCGGTGCCAGAGGGACCGCCAATGAAACTCAGCCCCACTTTCTCACTGTACCTCTGAACTGTGTCATTACATCGCCTTCCTTAGAAGGGCCTGAAATCAATAAAAAGAAGTTCAAAAACCACTCCATAAGCAGCAGAAAACCTGCCCTTCACTCTTCTTTCTCTGCACGCAGAGGAGTTCTAAATCTTCCTTCCTTCCCACATCAAGCCTGAGATACCAGGCTCCTGAGAACTGTCTTTAATTCGGCATTATTTCTGCAACGTTTCTGCCAAGTATCTGTGGGTCTTTAAAGGGAACGTGAAAAGGTAGCAAAGACACATCTATACAGCAAAGGCACGTGGCACCCAGAAGGGGCACATAAATCAAAGTGAGAGAGAAGCCTGCTAGCAACCTGAAAATCAAATTGTGTCAGGGAGAAGGTCCGTGTGGAAAATAGATTAGAAGGGCGCTGAACAAGGGAGAAGAAAGACAGGCAGCCCCTCCAAAATGAATGAGAGGCAGAGGAGGCCTGGAGAAAGGGCCTGACGGAAAAGACTCTTGGCCATCCTAAAGCCGGAGAGGAGGAGTTCTGCAATGGTTCGAGTCCCGCTTGGACCCTGCGATGGCCGTCCATCTCCACTGTCCTGTGTTGCTTTGCCACTGTCCAACCAGAGCAACCGGCTCTGAAGGAAATGACGGAAGAACGGAGGCAGGAAAGGGAGGGAGAGCAGGCACCGGGATGTAGATGAGTGCAGAAAGCCCCATCGCAGCCTCATCCTTCTGGTGACCTCCAGCGTCCAGCCCCAACTTTGCACCTACGGTGCTGAGTGCAAGGGCTGCTGGCCAGCCCTCTCGGAACCCGGATCGTGACAGGTGCCTCACTAGTCACCCTCAGAGGGCAGATGGGGAGCAACAAGCACAGGCACTGGGCCAATGGGGGGGCCTCTCAAAGAGCCACTATTATTATTATTAAATAAAATGTAGAAGTACTGGATGCTGTCTCTGGAAACTTCCATTTTTGTCTGTGATTTGTAGGTTTTGCGGGCTCTCCTTGCCCCTTCTTTTTCTCAAAACCGTAAACTCCAGATTTCTCTTCTATTCCAAACCCTGTGTTGGGATACAGCAGGCTCTTCATCTCCCAACCAAAACCCCCATCCTGCTAGCAAAACGAATCTTGGTCAGACAGTGGGAAAAGTCTTCCAGGGGTGGACTTTGGCTCGTGGTGGTGATCATTCTGCTCTTGCTTTGTGATCCTGCATGACTTGCCTTTCTGCAGGATGTGGCATGACCAAAGGGATAGATTCGAGTCCCAGTGCGCAAACGCAGTGTTCTAGATTTTTAACTTCATTTTGTACGTCAGCTTAATTTCTATGTCAGATCTCCATTCTGCCTGGAGGCAGAAATGTAACCTAAGCCAATTCGGAATTCTAGCACCAGTTCCTGAATCATAAGCCTAAGTTAGTTAACCACACTGAACCAAGGCTCTGTGCTTGGGAGATCATGGTAGTCATTAGGCAGTCATTGCTGGAAAAGATTCTGCCTTCATGCTTCCAAACTCATGGCAGGATTGCACTTTCCTAAAAGCTAAGTGTGGCCACGTGGCTTGCTTTGGCAAATGGAACATAAGAGCAAGTGTCAGTTCCAGAAGGAAGGTTTAAATACCAGTTCACGCTTTTCCTCATTCTTTTTCCCCCCTCTGCCACAGAGACTGGCAACTTTCCAGATAAACGCTGCTCCAGTAGATCCTGGGGGGCCCAGGACAGTGCTGACCCAGCACAGCGCTTTCCCCTGATCTCCAGTCAACCTGAAGTCCAAGTGAGAAATGAGTCCTGTTGTTTCAGCCACTTAGACCTGTTTTTGTTATTCTTGTTAACCTGGGCATATTCTAGCTTACCTGAAGGGTACGGGTGATGGCATCCATCTGAGATGGCCTCATTCCCTCTTCAACTTGGCATTCCATACTTCCTGAGCCATCCTCCATTCCCCACTCAGGATCTCCTGGTGTCCTGACCTTTGTCAGCTGTTTCTGAGCCCCTCTCCAAGGATAGAAACCCACCTGTTGTCACAGCACCACACTGGGCCACGGGGAATTCTGTGGGAGGTGTTCAGGCCCATCGGCTCAGACATTTCATGGCATCTCAAGTCTCATGACTTCCCCAGGGTTCTATCAAGGAAACAGAGCAAGCCTGCCTCTGCCCCAGCTAGGGCTTCTCGCCATTCCCACTTCTTCTCCAGGAGCCTTAGACCCAACGCTTTCCCCAAATCCTATAACAGTTGCCTCTTCTGGCTTTTCCCACCAGCCCCACTACCCTATCTTTGCCCCCAAACCCTGAGAACTTAAATCTGGCCTCAGGCTGGAGACCTCATTCTTACTCATGATTACCACCTTCCCAAATCTATTATGTCTGTTTGGTGTTCCTTCCAACACCCAAGTGCTCACAATCTGCAAGCCAAAATTTGCCCCGTGTTTGTCTCTGAGTTCTGCCAGACCCCCTGTTCCTTTGAGACAATGAATGAGGAATACCCCAGCTCCCTTCATGGAGCAGGGACCAAGGGTCAGGGAAACAGAGCAGTGGTGGTGGTACAGGAGGTCTCAGTGGATATTTCAGAATACTCTTCTGTACATAAGTGTTTTGTCCAATTATAAGGCTGAGAATTAACCCAAGTGTGTGACTATTTGAAGCCAACATGCACCCCCAAAAAAACCATTTGACTATGTCTTTGTATAATTGTGATCCTTGCAAAACTTCTCAGTGTACAGGGTGCGGAGGGTCCTGGGCACAGTGTCTCTCCTAGAGACTGTAAGCCCCTTGAGGGCTGAGACCATTTCTTCCATGTGTCCTGCCAATCTCCAGACTTGGATCTGTTGTGCACCCGGAGCATGGATAATAGCACAAGACAGGCTGGCGTGTGAGTGGGGGCCACATGTCACAGTGGGAAGCAGAGAAGTGGCGTGATCAGATAGATTTCGTTTCTTTTGTTGCTTTTTAAAAATAAAGATTTAATTTATTCGTCAGAGAGAGAGAGAGAGAGAGAGTGCACAAGCAGAGGGAGAAGCAGGCTCCCCACTGAGCCGGGAGCCCGATATGGGACTCAATCCCAGGATCACCAGATTATGACCCGAGTTGAAGGCAGACCCTCAACTGACAGAGCCACCCAGGCGTCCTGATCAGACATATTTCTTTCTCTCTCTCTCTTTTTAAGATTTTATCTATTTATTTGACAGAGATCACAAGTAGGCAGAGAGACAGGCAGAGAGAGAGGAGGAAGCAGGCTCCCCGCTGAGCAGACAGCCCCATGAGGGGCTTGATCCCTGGACCCTGAGATCATGACCTGAGCCAAAGGCAGAGGCTTAACCCACTGAGCCACCCAGGCGCCCCCCCCCATCAGACATATTTCAAAAAGATGCTTTTGTTGACTAAAATACTTGAAACAGGACAGCAGTGGAAGATACAAGTTTGTGTCCTGAGACCAGAGCAACTCCTGTGGAGGGTATCTGCTATTGAAAATGAGCATGTAGTCAATAAAGTATTTAAGAAAAAATTTTAAAACCTCCAAACTTTGAGAGTTTAGCTAACACATGACAATGAGAATATTCTTATTATACTTAAGCTTTCAGCGACAGGAAATTCTCTGTCTGCTGTAGGACCAGCCGATTAGATCCTAAGAAGGATCTCCCTTTCCCTCCCGGGTGCATTTGAAACACCCAAGAGACAGATGCAGGGTTTTCGAGGAGAGGACATGAAGTCCTTCAAAAGTCAACGCCTGTGTGGAATGCAACTCCCTTTGGGACCTGTGATCACCTGCGAGGCCTGAGCGGGTTTGCGGTGGCCGGGCGGAAGTAACAACGTGGCCACCACAGCTCATACCAGTCGCCACCTGCTAACCCTCATTTTCCTAATCCACGCAAACCACATTCTCGGCGTCGATGCAGAAAGAAACAAGCCCTCTCCCCGCCTCCCCTGAACTCTTTATCGCAAACATTGGGCCTGCAGGTTTGGTGTCTGCGCACCACCCCAGACTCCACCCCTCAGCTCCACGGGGGCGGGGCGGGGAGGAGGGGGCGGGGCCTGGCGGCGCGGAGCCTGCAGTGCGGGCGGTGAGCAAGAGGCCCGACGGCGCAGTGGGCGGTATTCGCCGCGGGGCCTGAGGGCGTGGAGGGGAGCCGGGGGGGGGGGGGGGGGGGGGGGGGGCCCGGCGGAGGGGGGGGGCCGGGCGACGGGAAGGGGCGGGGCATGCTAGGGGGCGGGGAGGGGGGAGGGTCTGGCCTGCGGGAGGAGACAGACCTAGACCTGGTGTGGGAGTTCTAGCTGTTTCCCGGTGTTGCTGCGACCCTCAGCTGTTGAGGCGCAGCCGCCCGGCTCGCACCCGCGACCTTCGGGGCGTCCGGCCCTCTGGGGCACGTCTCTGGCTGCCATGGCCGCCGCCGGCTTCCGGGCCTTCGGAGCAAAGGGGCCCGCCTGGCTCAGGCGAAGCCAGTGGGCCCAGCTCTCCGCCGGCTTCTGCAGCAGGGGTCCGGCCGGGGCCGAACGGCCGGAGCTCCCGCCGCGACCCACCCGCGCGCGGCAGCAGGACGGCATCAGGTCAGCGGCGGGGCCGCGCGGGCGCCGGGCCCTTCCGGACCAGCCCACGGGCCTACCGGGGCAGCTCCCGGGTGGGGGTGGGCGGCAGGGACCCGGGCAGAGATGGGCAGTCACCCCACGCGGAGGCCACCGGACCCCGCTGGGGACACCAGTTTGTCCGTCTCTGCCAAAGGAACCCAGCCGCGGACACGGTGTTTCCTCAAGTCACTTGCCTGGGCACTGTAGCATTTCGGATCCTGCAGGACACACCAGAAAATTTCAAACGGGACAAACTCGGAAGGCCCCAGCACTGCCCCTAAACCCCCGGGGCAACGGATCCGAGTCTTCAGTGGATTTTAGGCTCCGTGTGGGCAACTCAGCAGGTGGCCACACCGCTGCTGTGGCCTTGAAAAAGAGGTTCTGTGCTTCTCACAACCTTGACCTGGTTCCAACGCCAGGTTAGGCAAAGCCGAGCTGCTCCTTGGCCCTGCCCCAGGAGTACCCGAGTAGGGGCAGGTCAATATGAAGGACGAAGGGCACACTGTACTAAGCTCTGCCCTGTGGCTCAACAAGCCTAAAACTCTTAAAAAACAAAACAAAACAAAATGAAACAAGAAAACCGGTGCACAAACTGGAATTGGAGTAGCAAAGGTTGAAGGACCGCTAGCCCCATCCAGGCCTCACCCTATTGTTAGCCCCGCCAGGGCAAGGGTGCAAAGAGAGGCCTACCCAGCGTGCTAAGTATTTAAAAGTCACAAATCAAACTAACAGCTAAATACGTTTTCTTCTTCTACCCTGAGAAGTATGTCTTCATAGACCTGGAAGACCATGCTCGAATTTATAATCCTGAGGCTCCTAGGAGTTCCCCCAAAGCAGTGGCAAGCCAGCTGCTTGCGTGCCTGCAACTTTCTTTTCGTCCCACCCTATGTTCACCCCCTCTCACTTCTCCACCCCTCCTTCCTGCTGCTCTGCCAGGAGCTTGGCACACGGGTCTGCAGACACCCCATCCAGTGTGCCCACATTCTCTCTCACCTCCCCTCCTAGAAATAATTGTACGTGGCCACCCCAGGGGCTTAAGGATGCCCCTCTGCAAAGCCAGAGAATTCCAGAGTCTCAGGTAACCACAGCGGGTCTGGAAGGGGGTGGTGACTTCCAGGTGGGCATATCATGCTATTCAGGTGGACTCCTGGCTCATCTGGCAGGGCACAGCTGGAGCGGGGGTACCCAGAAGTACCGGGCCCAGGCAGGGCTCCTTGCTCATTGTCAAGGGTGCCCCTGCTTCTGCAAATCTGGTTCAGAGCCCTGACATCTGGCATGGAGCCAGTGGACTGAAGGTCTGGGTGAGTTCTCCGGAGCTAAACAGGAGTCAGAAAGGGAGACGATGGGAAGAATCAATCTGACATAAATGCTCGGAATCAGTAAGTAGGAACCTCCAAACGCACCACAGAAGCAGTGGTATGTTAGGCATGAAGCTGGTGAATTTGAACAACTCAGTCACACCTCAAGCATCCCTTTTCAGAGCTGTTCCTCTCAGCAGTGATAGTCATGGAGCAGGAATTGGAGTACCATGCTAGGCACAGTACAGTTGCTACCCCTAATCCCTCTAGAGCCTGCGAGGTAGGTTACGTTGTCCCCACCCTACAGTGAGGAACCGAGTTCAGAGAGGTGGCCACTGGCTCAAGGCCACACAGCTGGGAGGAAAGAAAGCCAGGAGGCAGGAAAAGGTCCGCCTGCCTCCGAAGTTGTTTCCGCTCTGCTCTCTAGCTCAGTGTCCTTGCCACTGAGGTTTAAAAGAGGTGGCAAACAAACAAACCTACCTAGGTGAGATGAAAATTTCCAGGAGTCAGTGAAATTGGCTGTGAAAAATCAAAATGCTATTTGGGGTCATTAATTCGCTCAGCAGGTGTCTGTCGAGTGTCTGTGTGAACATGACAGGTGCCTCGCCTCATGAACTTTCTGGGGGTTTACAATGATGTGATGGGCTCCAGATAGCTCATCGGGGCCTCCCCAGGGCCCTTCTCTTGCCCTGCAAACAGAAATACTACTTTTTGTCACGTGCTCTGGCAGTAACCTCCCTCTTAGTGATTCCCTTTTCCGGTGGTCGTGTTGGTGAAGCTGTAGGTGCAAGGCGTCACGCGTTTCGACCCAAGATAGTCACTGGGAGAATTCAGACTGCCAAGATTCTTAGCAGGTATTATCAGTCAGCTTTGCCGGCCAGTTCAAGAGGGAAGAAGCAGCAGTCTAAGAAGGCTTTCGGTTTCTGGCTTGAGCAACTGAGTGGGTAGCATTAAGATGAAGGGAGTTGGGGACGATGCCCCAGGATAGTCCAGGAGACGTGGGAATGAACTTGTGGAGTAGACCTGGAGCTCAGGACGGAGGTCTGGGTGAGGGCAAAGGTTGGAAGTCATCAGCATAGCGGTCCCAGGCGAAGCCAAGTCCGTGGTCAGGTTGCCTTGGAAGAGCATGGGACAAAATGCAGCGGGGGGAGCTCTGAGGATCATGTAGGGGTGAGCAGAAGGCAAGGAGCGCCCTGAAGAAGGAGAGGAGGACAGGCTAGAGAAGCACCAAAAGACAGGAGACAGAAGGAGAGCGTGATCCCGATGGCCACTGGACTTGTACTGACAAGGAGGAGATTCTGGGCGAGGACAGATTGAGCAGAGTAACAGGAACAGAAGCCTGGCTGGTCTGGGTCGAGAAGTGAACTCAGCAATTCAGAGCACTCTGACAGGGTGTGCAACGCGCAAGCCATGGGATTAATGGGCCACATATGACCAGACACTGCCGCGCAGCAAGGGGATCTGGGCGCTGGCATCTTTCTGCACGATTTTGCCCGAGGCCTTAGAATTTAATTTAAGCATATGTCACTGACGGGATGGCAGCTCTGAGATTTGCTACAGAAAGCACACTCATTATCTTACTGGAAGGTTCGTGGACATTTCTTTTACGACACCCCAGAATGCGGGTTTCATTGCATATCTGCCTATCAGCTGCTAGTCATTCTCAGCACCCAGGAGGAAACGTGACTGTCAGCCATCTGAAGATGGCAGCAAAGCCAGAACGGTGTCCCGAAGAAAATGGGTATTCGTATAGCGCTGGAATAAAGTCACTCACTGGAGTGGTTTTCCAGAAGCCGGTGGCCCAGAGGGCGAGTTTAGGAGGATCCAGGCTGACACACAGCAGGAGTTATCAGATCCAGAGAAAGAGTGAGAACGGCAGTAATCATGGAGGTGGGGACCGAGGGGAAACAGATGCAACGTACAGAATAATAGCCTGGGGTCTGGTCCCCCGCCCATTCCATGTAACCGCACAAAGATGACATTCCTGTGTACAGGCAGCCCGACGACAATATAGTGAGACCTTGGCATGCCAGCTCCTAGTCGGAGGACATGTCCCGAAAGAGCCCCCTTGCTGTCTGCTCCTTCCTTCTGCTCTTCACACGTCACCCGTTCTCAGTGTGAATTACTCTGCAGAACTGCAGGATGCCACTCGAAAAACATGGAAAGACGTGGTCATCGAGGTGCGTTGGCTGCTGTAACCGCGCTGCCCCCTCGATGGGGTGCACGGGAGGAGATCTGGGGGTGTGTTTCCATTCTCGGCTCCTTCCCTGACCTTACTCTCTTGAAGAACAGCAGAGAGAGAAGTGGAAGGTAGCCACACGTGGCAGCTTCCTCGGGCTCCCGCTGTGGTCTCACAAGCCTCACAGCCTCTCGGAAGGATTGGTGGTGGTTTCTGGAACTGCTGTGACCTACCCTTTGTGGGGAGGAGGCCGTCATGTTTCTGACCGCAAACCTGGAGAAAAAGAGAAATCCAGGGAAAGGGGGTGGGAAGCCCAGCCCACATTTCGGGTAGTCTCCTTGTTTTGCCTTAGCCGTATCTCTCGATAGTTGGCAGACCCTCTCAGTAGCCTCTAAGCACCAAGGGTTCCCTTTCCTGGTGTTTTATAAAGAGCCCCCAGGGTAAGAAAGGAATTGGGGTCCTCATTTGTTTTGACACGTGTACTTATAATTATACAGTGATTATAAAACATTCTTCCCAGGAACATCGTCTTGAGTGATCTGAAGAAGAGGAACGCGCTGTCATTAGCCATGCTGAGATCTCTGCAGAGTGACCTTCTTCACGAAGCCGAGAGCAAAGACCTAAGAGTCATCATCATTTCAGGTACTGACCGGATATACCGCCTCAGTGTTCTGTAATGACCCGGAAGCAGCTTCTCAAAATTCTTTGGTCAACGGAGGCATTCCTTCCCCTCATGGGAGAATTGTTTCTGAAGCTCCTTTACAAGAACATTATGAAAAAAACCCCTGTGCAATTAATGGTCGAAATTATAGGGAAGATTACCGTGCGGTGAGAATATGTCTTTTTCCATTTTGTCGGACGTGTCAGGTAGGAAACATTGCCCCCCCTGGCTGTGCTGGTCTCCCCATCAAAGTCCGAGAACTGATGTCTCCATGGATCCGATCAGATGGGTTTAATCACCAAAGCTTTCGGCAGACTACCTAGCTGGCCAGGACAGGCTGCTGGGCAGTTCACTGATTGGTCTTTTCCATTCTTCCCAAGCTTTCAGCCGAGATCTGTGGTCTTCTTCAAGGGTCCCAGGAAGCATGATCTATTTTGCTCATTTCTTTCCTTCTCTTTTTCCAGTAAGAACTTTTACCAAGTCGTCTGGTGACGACGACAGCGGCATCAATGACAGCGTGCCGCATTGTAAAGCAACCACAGAAAACACGTGCTTCCCTATGATGCACTATTCTTTTTTAAAAAGTTAAAAAATCGTGTTTCTGGAGGCAGCTACTTAGACTGTTACTTTCTTCTCTGTGATTGAATATAAATTTTCACCTTTTTAAAAAATCTTTTAAATTTTATTTATATATTTATTTGCTTATGAGATAGGGCATGTTCCCACACAAGCGAGGGGAGGGGCAGAGAAAGAGAATCTCAAGCAGACTTCACGCTCATCAGAGCCTGACACAGGACTCGATCTCGTGACCCTGAGATCATGACCTGAGCTGAAATCAAGAGTCAGACGCTTAACCAACTGAGCCACCAAGGCGCCCCCAAATTTTCAACTTTTTATATGGCGAGGGGGGAAGAAATAGAGCAAATATTGTCCAGGAGCCATGGTGGTTGTAAGCCGGGTACAGTAAGCCGGGTGCTAACTCACAGCCACGCAATTTTCTCATTGGCGTGCCGGGAGTAACAGGTCTGTCCCAGCAGCCACAGCCAAAGGGAAGTAGGAGAAAGTGCTACCAGCTGATGGGTTGTGTCCGTTTTGTCACTGTTGTTAACAGCAACAGTATCAGTAAAACCACATCGTCCAATCCCTCGTAAAAATAAAGGGGCTGTCCTCACAGTCCGACCTTCCTGATCCCAACCTGTGTGGGTGGCCGCGATCTGTGGACCCAAGGACAGGGACACTGCGGGAGGCGGGGTGGGTTTGATGGGCCCAAGTGAGTCTATGCAGTCAGGCCGGACCAAGTCCAGACACAGAAGTGTGAAACCAGGGGATAATTCTGGAAGGAGGACATTTGCCACGGTTACTGGGCCTTCTTGTTGGCATGGCATGTTTTCGCTGGTTCCACCACAGACCTTCGAGAACCCATGCCACCCCTTACTTTGTCACCACAAAACCCTGGCTGTCACTTTGCAAGCAAAATGGAATTATTCTATCAAAACTGAGCCATCAACTCAAAGTGTCCACGGCATCAGCGCGATTGCTGTTACATTACCTGGGAGGTAAGTAAGGGAACGTTCAAGCTCTAGCTGCTTACTTCTCTTTCTTTTCTTTTCTTTACTGGAAACATGTGCAGCTGAGGGGCCCGTGTTTTCTTCTGGGCATGATTTAAAGGAACTGACGGATGAGCGAAGCCCAGATTATCACACCAAAGTGTTTCAGACCTGTTCTGAGGTAAGCTGGGCTGAGGGGGCGACATCACAGCTCAAAAATGAGAGCCACGTGAAATACTGAATGATGCTTCCAGTGGACACACAAGGCTTTATCTCTGAGACCGAGTCCCTGCAGACTGGTCATTGGCCCATCCTTTAACCAGGCCACTATTTGGTTTCGATTTTCAAGTGGGCACAGTTGGCAAGTGATCTTGTTACCTGCCAGAGAAAGGTCGATACAGGCTGGTGCTGACAGTGGCCACGTCGGGGACCGTGGGGGTGTGTCTTGGTAGACATGTCTCAAGTCAGAGGCAGAGGGTGGGTGTGAACATCTGTAGAGGGGAAGGGCCCAAGATCAGTGTAATTTTTTAAAATTTTAAACTAAAACAACTCTGTTAATGGCAGAGAGAGAATATTTGTGAATGGAATAACCATAATGATTTTAAAGATTATTTTCAAACCCTTCTTCCGACCAACCTTTGTAATCACCGCCTCCAAGTGGAAAATGAACCTCTTCGCGTTTACTTCTCACGGTCTGTGTCTTTAACCATACGAAGGAGAGAAACTGCCAGCAGAGAGGAGGAAGAGGAACAAAAGGCTTGCGATGGTTATAATCACACCGAGTCCACCTCTGGATAATGAGAAACTGAATACAGCCTACAACTTCAGGTCATGCTTCGCTTGTTTCATAACTCGTTATTGAGCACCACTGTATGCACAGTACTTGCCAGGCACTGAGGGAAAAAGAAGGAAAAACAAACCTCCTGCCAAACTGAAACTGGAAATGTAGGTGAGAAGCATGACAGAACACAGCGTCAGGGAAGCCTGGGTGCCGCAGTCCACCAAGCAACCGACTCTGGGTTTCAGCTCTGGTCGTGGTATCAGGTTGTGAGCTCGAGCCCCATGTCGGGCTCCACGATGAGCGTGGAGCCTACTTGAGATTCTCTCTCCCTTGCCCTCTGCCCACCCCCATGCTCTATTTATTTTACAAATAAATAAATCTTTAAAAACTCTCTTAAATAAACCAATCTTAAAAAAAAAAAAAAAAAAGACCGAAAGCAGTTTCATAACCTGGCCCTAAAATTACTTCACTGAATTTTTCATTCATTCATGGACTTGCTCACGTATTTGGTCGTTAACGATTCAACAAATGTTTCGCGATACCTTCTCTACAGACAAGACAGAGGCGCGCACCAGGGAGGCTGGCAGGAAGGTGACTGAGATGCCTTCTCGGCCACCATTTGTTTCCCTTGCCCTTCCAGAATGCCGTACGGAGAGCCCGTTAAGAGTTTTCTCATGTCGACAAGCCAGGAAAGCAGTTGACTTAGGCTTCACGGAGACGCAGAAGCAACCCGGAGCTAAGGCTTCGGTGTTTTGTTCCACACCAGTGATGTTTATGTAACGTTCTGCTCTGGTGTTTGGCAAGGCACGGCGCTTTAGAAGTGATTTCTTTACAATATCCATGGTGTTTGGCTAAAACAGAAAAGCATGAAAGAGAACCACTAGAGCCCTTCCCTCCTCCCTCAAGGGCCTGCTTTTATCACTCTGCCGTGGTGTCTTCGCGAACTGAGATCCCAACGGGTTAGCCAGACGGCCACAGGGGAGCCCGGAGCTGCTTCAGAGGAGAAAGGCCAGATTTCATGGACGCTGGCAACCCCTGGATGTCTCGGGCTCACTGAAAAAGAGAGAGTGCATAAACGGGACCTTGTCCTAACACGGAGATCGGAGCGGAAGTGCCCTGGTTTCTTGAATACTTCTAAAAAATCACAATGTCTTGGACAAATAAGAGCACCATGAACTTGGAAGATTTCCATTTCCAAATGTGATCAACGGACAGATTGGGACAGAATGAGCTAGAGATTTCACTGTTCTGTTCACACATGAGAAAATGCGGGTTTAGAGAGGAAGACGGAGATTCCTGACTTGGCTCAGGATCTAAACTAGCAGATTCCTTGCAGACACCAAGTGCCACCTAATTGTTAATTATTTACAAACTAGGAATAGGGTAAATGGAGAAGGAGAAAAAATCGTGACTATGGGAGACCAAAAGTAACCCTTTGTGGAGCTGACCCAACACATTTCCCTGGAGACCCACTCCGTGTGTCTCTTCTTTTGTCCTGTTGAAGTCTGAGGTGGAAACCTTAGTCCAGGAAGAGAGTCTTTTCTTTCTCCTCGGCCTCACCGCTGAAATGGCAGTGGGACAAGGCTGCTCGCAGAGCCCGCAGTCACGCTACTGAGTGAGGCTAAGCTGTAGTTACACTGATGTCGCATTTGGAGAAGGCAGAGAACCCGGGAAAAATACTTAGTTCAGGAAGGTAAACTAGGAGGGAAAATCATTTCTTGACTACCAAGGGATTGGCTGCCTCAGCTGATTTGTTATCTAACTTGTCTTTGTCTTTTCTGTGTTGCTAACTGTATTTGAAGTATGTTTTGGGGGCACGCGGGTGGCTCAGTCGGTTAGGGGTCTGATTCTTGATTTCTGCTGCGGTTGTGATCTCAGGGGTGTGGGATCAAGCCCCATGTGGGGCTCCTCGCTCAGCAGGGAGTCTGTTGGAGAATCTCTCTCTCCCTCGCCCCACCATGCGTGTGCACATGTGTGTGTGCACACTCTCTCTCAAATAAATAATCTTGAAAAAATAGAAAATTTTAAGAAATAAAAGACATTTTTGGGGTACCTGGCTGGCTCAGTCAGTAGAGCATGTGACTCGATCTCAGGGTCATGGGTTCAGCCCCATGTTGGGCATGGAGCCTTCTTAAAAAACGTTACTTAAAATATGCTTTAATTATACAAATAATAAACATGGAAAATTTTGAAAATGCAGAAAAAGGCAGGAAAACAAACTGCTGATACTAGACCATGATCATACCACCCAGAGAGAATGCTAATATTTAGTAGATTTCTTTCAAACCTTTTCCCACATGAACCTATTTGTCTGAATAATCATACATAGGGGCAATTATGCTATATAACTGTATAATGTGATTATAGCACTGAATGCTTAACCATGTGCCATGTAATGTTTTGAATACTTTAGACATATATAGAATTCTCATGTTCTAGAAGATTGGTACTATTCTTGTGCCCATTCTTATACCCAGATGTGAAGACTGGGGGATAGCCAGTGGGTAAGTGGCAGACTGGGCATCAGACCCCAGGAGCCTGGCTCCAGCCCACTATGCAAGGTCAGGCCATGTTGCTGTGTTTGGTGGAAAATCTCAAAATGAGAACCCAGTGTTCCATTAAGTGGACAATTAGTTTACATAGTCACTTTTCTTATTTACTTATTATTTTTTAAAAATTTTATTTATTTGAGAGGGAGAGAGAGAGAGAGAGAGAGAGACAGCGAGAGAAAGAGAACACAAGCGAGGGGGAGAGGGAGAAGCTGGCTCCCCCTGAGCAGGGAGCCTGGTGTGGGGCTCCATCTCAGGACCCTGGGATCATCACCTGAGCTGAAGGCAGACGCTTAACTGACTGAGCCGCCCAGGTGCCCCTTATTTATATATATTCATTACTTATTAGTTTATCACCACTATAAAATAATTTTTTAATAAAATAATTTAACATCTCTGCCTAGACACCTTTTTACCCTATTTTAGGATTATTCCTTAGAAATGTTCCCTGGATGAAAAGTACAAATATTTTTAATATTGTTAGGATCTACTCTCAGTATTTTCCCACCAGGTTGTATAGAATCTTAGTGCTTCGTAGCAGGCACACGGGAGACATAGACTGTTCGACGCTAATCGCGGCCAAGTGACTTTTCATAAGTAACCAGCTCCTTAGATGACAGACGACACTCAGAGCCAAAAAGAATCTTTCTTTGCTGTAAGACCCTACAAGTTCTTGAGCAAGAGTTCTCCCCCTGCTGTTGCAGTTCTCTGAGCATGAGCTCAGTCACTGACCACACTCGTCCTCGCCTAGAGCTCTCAGAGCCCCTACATCCGGAGCCGTTTGGGGTGTGGATATGCACACGTGCATTTTTCTGAGGAGAAAGTCAATAGCGTTTATCAGATTCTCACAAGGTGACCCCCTAAAAAAGTCCAAACCACTATTATAGAACATGATGTCATATCCCTAAATATATTATTATTTTATAGTAAAGCTGCCGAATAGACCATGTTTGTGAAAGCAGAAGGCGGAGTTCCTTGGGCAAAACCTTCAAATCAAGGAAAGTCATTTTTTCAGAGTGGCCGCCTAGGAAACAAACCCAGATGTAGTAGCTCCTTCCCACTTGCCCTCCTTCCCTGCCAGGGTTCAAAGTGCAACTGTGTATACGTCCAAGTTACCATAGTGACACAGTCTGTTTTGTGTGCCATTAAAAAAAAAAAATGGAGAAATCAACCAAGGTATTTGATAAGCTGCAAAAATAAGTTCCAGAAATTTATGGAGTGGGGGAGGGGTCGCACGAGCACGAGCCAGTTTTTGGCTCCTCTCTGTGCCAGGAGCCCTGTTTAGGGAATTTTGTTTATTTTGATCATGACAGGGTTCCTTCCCACCATTATAAAGGAATTGAGAGAATATTCAGGGCAGTAATTTGAGAAGTAATTTGTCTTTCAGCTTCATTTTTCAAGAAAGTAGCAAATACCAGTTTCAGACTTGCAGCGGGCGCGCTCCATGCAGGCGCGGTTCCCCAGAGATCAGAATCAGCTCTGTGCTTCATGGGGGGCTGCTGGGGACGTGGTCAGAGGGGACTGTGACCTCACAGAGGGTCCTGCCAGGTGTAGAAGGACCAGGGCTGTGTCATCAGCCAGACGCAAGTTCAAATCTCCCCGCCTGGGCGAGTTCCTTCCCCGCTGAGCTTTCCGGCCCTGGTTGTCACCTACTGTCCCCTCCTCCCCTGGGTCTCAGGAAGACCAAACAGTTGGTATTTGATGCCAGGCTAGTTCTCTTCAGGCTTTCTTTCACCCTTTTTTTCCGAGACTCTGATCGAACGCATAGGGGACATGCTCTGGGAAGGGTGAAGTCACAGAAAATCGTCCGTGTGCGTGTTGCATTTTGCTTTTGGCCGGAAATGAAGTCGTGTGTTTGCCCTTTTAGGTCATGCTGCTGATCCAGAAGCTCCCGGTCCCCGTCATTGCCATGGTGAACGGCTTGGCCACCGCGGCCGGCTGCCAGCTCGTTGCCAGCTGTGACATTGCCGTGGCAAGCGACAAGTCCTCTTTTGCCACCCCTGGGGTGAACATCGGGCTCTTCTGCTCCACCCCTGGGGTGGCCCTGGGGAGAGCGGTGCCGAGGAAGGTAACTGAACGCCCTGTGGGCCCTCCCCATGTGATCCCCCAGGGCACGGGGTGGTCGGTTCCAGAACTCACTGGTTACAAGGACTGGATCAGGACGTTCCTCCCAGAGTGTGTTTGGCGGGCTGCGCTGCAGTGTCCCTTCTGAAGCCAAGTGTGGGAGCGGGGATGGCTGGCACCTGTTCCTCTGAGCTTCTCACCGCGTGTCACCCTCGCGGGCCCCTCAGGACTAGTTAGGGTCCTGCTTTGTTTTGTTTGTTTGCACATGTTCTTGTCCTCTTACTGGCCCTGCCGTTGAAACTCCGCTTTGTTGGACCACCTGGGGGGACCTAGGCCAGTATCAGGAGGCTAGTGTCCCTGGCTTATTGCTTGCCAGCGATCTGTCTTGTTCCAGAAAGGACTGAAAAGAGCTGATTCCCTGAGTGTGTCAGGTTCGCAATGGTTATGTTTGAGGAGCAAGACGAGCCCATGCTTGGCATATTGGATCTGCCCTGGAAGGAGCCACATTACATGAGGTGGTTGGTCGTTGCTGACCACAGTAAAGTCCACGTTCTTCATTAAACTCGTTCTTCCTATCACATCATAAAATAAGATTTACTAAGGAGCTCTTAAGTGTAAACCAGGGGTTTTCCTGTTCTAGAAAAAAATACATCCTCATTCTCAACTAGAAATGTGTTTCCAGAAAGGGAGAGGTTGGCGAAGTTGCAGAACGTAGGGAACCTAAACTGCTTTCTAGAATATATTATCCATTTTAATGTCAACTACAAAAATTAGCAGTTGCCCATATGCCTGAGGCACAAAAGAGATGAGACCCCAGGGAAATCAAGCGGCAGGAACAAGAAGTTTAGGGATGCATTCCTTTCCTTTATGGTGCCTCATTAGTTTTTACAGAAACGTGTATTTGTGAGAAAGGTCTGAAGGCAGAGTGTGCGAACACACACCCTCAGGAACAGTGGCTGAAAGTGGGCAAAGGTGAGCTGTCAGACATAACAGCTTGCCAAAAGGTTTGCAGACTAAGCGGGTTTCATCCTGTCAGGAGACAAGTTCACTTTAAATGCATGTACGGTAATTCAGCAAATACTTCTTAAGTCTCTCCTCTGTGCCAAGTACATGAAATCAAAGTGCATCTCAAGTAGATTGTCAGAGCTCATTGACAAACTGCCGTAAAATTGTGCAAATCAAGTCACGAGGCCTGTCGCATCATCAGCAGGTGGACGGGTTACCCCATCAGCAGGTGTTCATCTTCCTTAACACCTGATGTTCTGGAAGGGTCCATAGTGAGGCACTCAAACCTTTGTATCAGCCCTGTCGTTAGGATAAGAATCCATTCTTTCTTAACACAAACAAACTTTTCCCATCGAGGCTTACAATGGAGTCCTAGAAACGTAAACATTGTTATCACATTTGTCAAATTTTAAAAGAGTTTTTGAGAAGAGAAAAAAACTCACATGTGACACACACAGGCCTTAAGTTTCCAGGAAGCCCGGTGCTCAGAACCACCCTGCCTAACTACTTGGCATGACAGATGAAGGGGCAGGACATTGCAAGAACAAAAGTAGCTCTGACTTCCCCTGGGTAGTTTTGGCAAGGGCCAGGCCTGCTGAGAAGACGAGGGCAGAGTCTCCAGTATCGTCCCCACTCAGCAACTTGATCTATGCTCCTTGTGATCTGACCCCCGGGTTTCTTCCCAGTTAGCAGTCTGAAAGTGGTTCAGAGCTATCTGCAGATGTCTTTGCCTGTTGGGTTCATTACTCCACAGAGGCGTGAAGGGGATACACAGTTTGGGGTCAACACTCATGATCTGAAATCACAGTACTGATAAAGGGAACTCAGTGGGAAGAAGTCTGTCAGAACCTAGGGCCTTTGCCAGGTTGCTGGATCTTCTGGTCTCACCTGTGCCGCCCCCTGGAGGAGGCAAGTAGGAATTCATAAAAATCTAAACCTAACCAGAAACACCCCTCCCTGCAGGCATTGCTTGATTGCACCCCTATGAACACATCCATACACAGGCCCGTGGGCTTTGGTGGGTGGGGGGCACACGTTTGCACTGCGCGTAGCCACAGGGAAGCAAGCAAGTGCTTCTGCAAATTTGCCTGCCCTGGGAGCTCTACCCTTTCTGCCCCAGCTAGAGCCATGGGTGTGGGTCGCTAGTGCCCTCTGCTGGTCACCATGGGAAATGGCTCAGCTGTGCTGGAGATGGAGGGCGGCGGTTTCCCCCGCAGAGAGCAGAAGTGACGGAGTGCAGCCCTTGTGTTCAAGCCAGACTGAGCCCGGGCGTGAATAATTTTCCACATTTGTAAACCGCATCTCTCCTCTGGCATGAGTTAAATAATGCATCTTCACTGCACCTTCTAAACACTGCCTGGTGCAGCTGCTCTCCTCCCCAGCCAGAGCGGGCCCCCAAGCAGCTGGTATCCTGGGAGAGAATGGGAAAATCCGAACCCCCGCTCCCGAGCCCATCACTTCTCTGTGGTGGGAACGCTGGCTTCCATCTAGTTGCCTGGGGTATCTGTGGAAACTTTGGGTATTTGTGGAATCGGATTTCCTCAAATCTCATTAGAACAGAGTAGAACTGGGCACCTGGGGGCTCAGTGGGTTAAGCCTCTGCCTTCCACACAGGTCATGATCTCAGGGTCCTGGGATTCCCCGCATCGGGCTCTCTGCTCAGCAGGGAGCCTGCTTCCCCCTCTCTCTCTGCCCGCCTCTCTGCCTACTTGTGATCTCTGTCAAATAAATAAACAAAATCTTAAAAAAAAAAAAAAAAAAAAAAAAAAAGAACAGAGTAGAACTTCCAAGCTGGAAAGAGTGTTAACGTCTTGCTACTCAGCCTGGTTTGGAGACCACCAGAGAGCCTGAGAAATGCAGGGTCCCAGCCCCCTAGACCGACCACATCAGAATCTGTACTTGAACAGAGAATTGCACAGCCATTGGCCTCTGCGCCTTTGAGACCATGTGGTTCAACCCCCGATTTACAAAAGGGTTTGAGGGGGCAATTCAGGGCCTTACCTGATATCTCCCAGCAACCAAACCCACCTTGTGACTCTCCGTCGGGTTCCTTCCTTCCTGAGCCCTTACTGCATCACCAGCCAGTTCTTACGATAGGTGTGACTCGAGGGGCCCCCAAGACCCCTCGGCTTTAAAGAATCACCCCCTTTCAGGGCTGTGATACCTAAGAGCCAATCAGAGTCATACAAATGTACAGTTGGAATAGGCATGTTACTATCATCAGTGCATTTATTAGGTGCCGACTGAGTGCCCAGCAGGGTAGTGTTAGCTATACACTTACTGTCTCTCATCTCTGCAATCCCGCGGGAGGACGGAAGACTCATTCCCACCTTCAGATGAGGAAACAGACTCAGAGGGCTTAAGTTGCATGCTTAAGATTTTGTGGTTAGGAAGTGGCCCATCTGGGATTGGAACTCGGGGGACCAACTCCAGACCCAAATCTTGCTGCTCTCAGGGTTTGCCTTGGCCTCAGGTGCTGTTGTTTTTAACGCAAGTGCCCCAGGAAGAGGAAGTGTGAGACCCCCAGCTTGTTACGGGGACCCAAGAAGTGCCATCATAAAAGGCTTGAATTGATGAAGGAAAAGGATGAGAGAAGGTGCTCTCTCTCTCATCTGAAGCAAAGATGGTGCTGATTAGCTAGAGAATAAACAGGCTTTCTTTTCTCTAGAGAATACAACTCTTGTTATCCAACCCGCCTGGGTAAAATCTTTGTAAATCACTATGAGCCCAGGAAGCAGATGAGGAAACCAAGGCCCAAAGAAGGGGATGAACCAGGCGGGGATGCTGACCTTCCTTCCATCAAGACTTCCTTCAAGGGTTGCGTGAATCCCCTTAAGACCTCCCTGGTCCCCGGGAATGAAAGGAGCGGAAGCGCCCGGGAGAGCGAGCCCCTGCCTGGTCCAGGTGGACCCCGGTGCACCTGTCTCGGGGCTGCCCCGGGCCAGCGATACCTCCCTCAGGAAGAGCCATGGGGGCCCTTTCCTCCCTGTTCCCATCCAGTCAGATGCATCTGTCGTTTGCTAGAAGGAAGCCGCTCAGCCAGCCCCCTCTCCACCATCCTCCTGCGACATGACATGTCTGTGGCGCTGCCTGAGTGTGCGGAGGGACTGAGAAGCAGAGCCCGCGCGCCCGACTCCAAGCCCCAGGACCACATCGAGGCCACCCAGATGGGGCTCCAAAGCACAGTGAGACTTGGAGCACAGCCCCTCCTCGTGACCCCTCGTGATCCCTCTTCATGGGACAGTCTGTCACTTTCCATCAAGTGGAAGAGAGGATGGGGACATAAGTGAACTCACTACCATTTAACAAATCAGTTGTTTTTTTGTGGGGTTTTTTTTTTTTTTTTTTTTTTTTTTTTTACTGTGAGTCTGTGTAAACGATAATAAAGGAAGTTTGCGCCCAGAAGGGAGGATGGATCCAGGAGTGGAGGGGACCCGTCCAGACGTTGTGGTCCCTTCACCTACCTGTAGGCAAGGCTGCCTTTAGAGCATTCCAGAAAGATGAGCATCTTGTGTCTTTGACAGTATTTCCATGTGAGGTGATTTCTGAATTTAGCAGTTCTCATACCCACTGGAGGTGGTAGGAGAGGCCGGGATGGTGTGTAGGCGCCATTTTATTTCTGAGTGTGTCGAGCTTGAACTTGGTGGGGACCCTTCAGAGGGTGGACTGATCTCTGATGGTCTCTTGCGTTCTGACCATCTGTCTCTCTCTGTCCTTCTCCGCTTGGCTGACTGACTGAAAGGGAAAATATCTTCTATCCAATAACAACCCCTCATGCTATAGCTCAAGGTCACTTCCTTTTTTTGGATATTAGAGACCCTGAAGTAACATTAGGAATCGTTTATCTAGAAGGCAACTTAAGAGATCGTGTGTTCTCCCATGGGCAGAGCTGCCTGGGCCTGACGGACGGGGTGCCCTATTCACTCCTCTCCAGGGGTGAGGACTCCACATTCTCCCAGACTCATTCAGTTCACGAACTTGGATGTCTTTTTTAATGTGTTTTTGGCATTGCTTCAGAATTAAGACATTACAAAAACACGCAGTCTTCCTGTGTATGTATTAGTCACCTTGGGCTGCTGTAGTACGTGCCACGGACTGGGCGGCTAAAACAACAGAAGTTTGCTTTCTCACAGTTCCAGAGGCTGGGTGTCACAGCTCGACGTGCCGGCAGATGTGAAACTTGGTACGAGCTCTCTTCCTGGCTTGGAGCTAGCCACCTTCCTACTATGTCCTCATATGGCGATGTGAGAGAGACATGAACACAGAGATCCCTAACTCTGCTCCTAAGGCCTCCAATCCTATGGAATCAGGGCCCTACCCAATGACCTCAGTTAACCTTAATTACTACCCCAAAGGCCCCAGCTCCAAATACAGTTGCACTGGGGCTCAGGACTTGCACACGTGCGTTTTGGAGAGACACATTTCAGTGCATAGCACTGCCCCGGATTCTTGGAGCTCTCCTCTGTAAGTCTTTGTGGGGTGAATGGATGCCCAAGAGAAGATTGGCTCTGCTTGGAGTTCCTGTGCACGGAAGCTGGCCCGCAGCCCCCAGCCTCAAACGCAGACTCGTGCCAGGTCCCTCGAGTGAGCAGAACCATCATAGTTCTTTCCCCCGGTTCATGTGTTGCTGGAACGGACTGTTTTCCCCTGCATTTCTGTCGCACTCCATGTGACTATGAGCCCTGCGGTCCTTCGTTAGCTGTTCTTTGCCGCATCTCTGAGAGTCATTCATACACATGCATGCCAGCTGGGGAAAGGGGACGAGAAGCAATGTGCCCAGGGGTCCCTTGGAGAAGCTACACTCCGCAGACAGGACGAGGCCCCTGCCCACACCCTGGCCTGTGTCCAGGCCTGCAGAAGCTTGGACTCCAAAGGACCAACTCTGAAAACTTCTTGATCTCTTGGGCCCTGGCAGTGGCCCTGGCCAGACAGGAGCTCGGTTGGTGGGTCGTGGAAGCAGGGGAAGGAGAACAGAGCCAAGGAGGCCCAGGAAGAGAGCGACACTAATGAAAGCATCCGTTGGAGGAAGGCATTGACGAGGGGCCGTCCCACGGACAGATGATGAGCCCGGCCAGCAAGTAGGGATGGCCCAGGATGGATGAATGCCTGTCCGCTGAGCCTGCCAAGGGAACACTGATGCTTTGATTGTAACGATTTCCTCCTTACGACTCTCCTAGCATTCACAGCTACTTGTTTTAAGAAGATTTTTATTTATTTGTGAAAGAGAGTGAGTGAGGAGAGGGGCAGAGAGAGAGAGAAAGAAAGGGAGAGAATTCCAAGCAGGCTCCCCACCCAGCATGGAGCCTGACGCGGGGCTCGTTCTCACAACCCTGAGGTCATGACCTGAGCTGAAACCAGGAGCTGGACACTCAACTGACCGTGCCCCCCAGGCACCCCTCATAACTACTCTTGGAAGGCTATTTGAGGTCTTGCCCATTGCTGTAAAGGGATTGCTGTAAAGCGATTGATGACTGTAAAGGGTCTGATGACTTGTCTTCACCAGATTTGATTTTTAGTGTTGTTTTCGGGGCTGGCCACTGTCTGCTCTGTGGTCCCATGAATTTCTGGAGAGCCGCCTGCATGAACGGAGGAAAAGGAAGGCTGGAAGGTGCAGTGGCCCTCTTTCCCCTGGCTTCTGACTGGGGTCCCCGCTGACATGTGCTTGTCAGGCAGCGACAGAGCAGACATTGTCCTGGCCCCTTCGTGTGACTCACTGGGTGTCTTCTGTGGGGTCTTTGCAGCCCTTCCTCAGCAGGACCTGGCTTTTAGCTCCACGTTCAACCAGGGGCTTCCAAGAGGCTTTGACGCCATGATACTATTCCCGGTCAACTAATGCACGGTCTCTGGGGTGACCCACAGGCATAGACTGACCCACAGGCATCGCGTACCTGCTGCCTCCCACGTGCTGACATCACACGCCCCCAAACTGGACATGCTGGGATTTAGTCCACTGCCTAACCTTGCAGAGGGGAAGCGGGGGCCCAGCATTACGTGCCCCAACTACCAGTCCAGTGTGTTTCCCACCTGTCCCCACGATGGCAGGAGTCCCCGAGCCCGGCCTTCTGACCCCTCCCTTCTTACCAAAGCTCTGCCCCTAGCTGCGACAGTCTAGCCTCATGATCTAGAAAAACCGTCTAAGTCAGCGGTTCTCCCTGGGAGCAACACTGGCTCAGGGGGACATCTGGTAGTGCCGGGGGGATGTCTCTGAGGGTCACAGCTGTTGAGGTGGGACACAGAACTCCTGGCATCTGGCAGATAGAGACCAGGGACGCTGATGAACATTCTGCAATGCACATGGCAATCCCGCACCACAAGATACGACCTGGCCCCAGATACACGACGGCACCAAGGCTGAGAAACCTAGTCCATAGCATGATCTAAATGCTAATGACCCCCAAATTTTATCTCAGTCTAGTCCCATTACGCACTACTGCAGAGGAAACCACCCATAACTCAGTGGCTCAAAGCAACAGCAGCAGATTGTCGAGCTCATGAATCTGCAATCCGGGCAGGGGTCCCCGAGGAAGCTTCTTGGCTCTGCAGCATGTGTGGCCTCAGCTGGGAGAACAGAATATAGGGGGTGAGCATCATCTGAGTGCTTGCAGACCCCCGTGTCCGGCTGCTGGGCAGCCTCTCGGCGGGGACCCCAGCTGGGCTGGTCACTGGAACTCTTCGCACGGTCTCTCATGTGTCTCAGACTTCCCCATACACCATGGCGGCAGGTTCCAAGACCAGGCGGCCCAAGCAGATGAGCCAGGTGGGAGCTGAGCCACGGCTCTGACCAAGCCTGCGAAGAACGGAAGCCTCCCCCACCTGCCGTACCACCTGCTTTCTTCCATCCACCCCTCCAACCATGCATCAGCACTTAGCAAGCCGCCTACTGTGTGCAAGAACTGAATGCAGAACTCAACGGAACAGTTTTGAATAAACTCCGTGATCTGGTGGCGTTCCCCTGCCAGCAAAGGCGATCACAATACACAAGATCAACGTGTTGAGCACGCGGTGTGCTAAACAGCAGAAGCGCAAAGGATGAAGACACGGCCGGAAAGGGGAAGAGTGCTGGGTGTGACCTCCAGGTTGACTAGCCTGGTCTGGGAGGACCGTGTGGACAAGAGGACGCAGGAGCTGAGACCTGACAGGGACGAGGGCACCAGTCCTGAGGACACCTGGGGATGGAGCATCGCAGGCGGAGAGGACACCAAGTACAAGCTCCCCAAGGTGACAGCATGCCCAGGGCGCTCAAGGAACAGCGGGGCTGCAGGGGGTGGGGGGTGTAGAGAGGCGCCTCCCCCCACCACCCCGGCCCATGCTGTGTGTCTCTGTGTGCGGCAGGAACCATGAATTTGAATCTCAAGAGGCCAGACTTTGTGGAAAGAGAACTGAGGTGCAGTACACGGCAGGCTATGGGACAGAGCAAACCACGGAGAGTAGGGAGCCTCTACCCTCGTTCTGCAGGCCTAGAAAGTGTGTGGGGAGAGAGGTGGTTAGAGGGAGGCAGGCTCTTGTGTAAGTTACATCATGCCGGGATCCTGAGTCTGGTCCCTGGAAGGCATTTCCTTTCAACCCCCCCGTCTCTGGTTTTGGGGGGCTGTGCTTTCAGTCAGACTGTGGTGGTGGCATCTCTGAGCATGTTCCTCCTTCTGGAAAGTGGCCCCTCCGTCGGTCTGGGGCAGGCCTGGGGCTTCAGTTTTGGTTCCCTCCCATCAGATGTCCTGTACCTGGCCCTTGCAAGAGACAGAGGGGAGCCCCTGGCTTCGGGGGGTGCTGGGAGATCAGCTCTGGTGAAGGAGCTAGGGAAGGGCCTGACTCTCCACCTTCTCCGGGAAGGCGGAGAGTCAGGCCCTTCCCTGGGCACTTGCCTCCTCCTTGCTCTTGGAAAGATCCAACCCTGTCCCTGGCAGGAGTCTGGGTGTTGTAGACGTCGGGCCTGACGGATGACGTGTTATTTGAGGAAGCCGGTAACTGGGCTGAGGTGGTAGGGAAGTAGGCAGAGTGGAAGGGAGAGGGTGGCGCTTGGCTAGCTGGGGGTCACAGGGAGCATGCCTTAGTAACACATTTCCTCCCTCAGGTGGCCTTAGAAATGCTTTTCACTGGGGAGCCCATTTCTGCTCAGGAGGCCTTGCTCCACGGGCTGCTGAGCAAAGTCGTTCCAGAAGAGCAGCTGGAGGAAGAGACCATGAGGATCGCAAAGAAGATTGCCTCCTTGAGCCGTCCCGTGGTATCTCTGGGCAAGGCCACCTTCTATAGGCAGCTGCCCCAGGACCTTCAAACAGCCTACCACCTCACCTCCCAGACCATGGTGGACAACGTGGCCCTGAAGGATGGGCAGGAGGGAATCAAGGCCTTCATCCAGAAGAGAAAACCCATCTGGTCACAGTGAGTGTTCTTCTCAGAGAAGCGGAGGAAGAGGGAACCTCCACTCCCTGCCTTCTGATGCCCAAACTCCTCTGCTTTGTCTTGACTGCATAGACAGCAGCCTGCGGTGTGGTCTGTGCGAAAAGCTGTGATTTCCTGGGGGAGGGAAAAGGTGGAGAACAAATCAAGTGGAAGCCGGCCAGCACCTGTGCCAGCTGGCTGTGGTGGGGGGAGCCTGGTGCTTGAGGTGATCCTTCAAGGACCCTAAGTGGGGGATCACCTGACACAGGAGAGGGTGAGGCTACACGGAGACGCAGCAGGAGGCTGCCAACCAGGCTCCGCCTTCAGAAATGTCCCCGGAGGTCGTTCTGGCTGCCTACTGGTGGCCACATATTTCCAGTCTCCACAAGACCTTCTCCACACTGAAAATCTTGTTTCTACTTCTCAACGGAAAAGGCTTTGGGATAGTCTTTTATGATTTAAAAAGATTAAATATTGAGAGGGACTGGTAATTTTATCTTTCCCCAGCCAGACTGCAGGGTGTCCGAGAAAAGAAAGGGAAAAAAAAAAAATCAATGTCCTCTTTTTGGTGAGCCTGTCCCTGGGGGCGCACGCCAGGTGCCTGACATAATGAATGTCCTGGCCATCCGACATCCAATACCGGGACCCCGGGCTAAAGCCGAGGATGAAAACATCAGGGAGAGGTGGGAGGGACACGGGACACGTGTCCTCCCCATCACACACCACCAGCTCCGCTCAGCTGCTGGGCAGGCTAGGGCCTCCGCGGAGGGAGCACGTGTACCAGGACCTGAACCTGCTCCTCTCCAGCTTTGGGTCCAGCCCCGCCCAAGACATGTTCCAAGTCTCTTGTCCTCAAGCTTTCACACAGGGCTTGGTTTTTGTTTTGTTTTGGTTCGGTTTTTGTTGTTGTTTTTTAAAATCAATTTATCTCCCCTCGGAGTAGAATGTGGACATGAATGTGGTCAGTCCCAAGGCTGAGACGGAGAAGTGTGGGGCTCTGCCCTGGGGCTCACACACATTGCAATGGATGTCCCCAGTGTTTCCACAGGTTTCTATGGAGATGGACAATTTTTTGCTTTGCCAAAGTTTAGAAAGGTTAAAAAAAAAAAAAAAAGCATTTTCTTGGAAAGGAGGAACTTGTTACTAAGATGCTGGTTGTATGTAGAGGTCACCAGAGCTGCCATTGGCCGACACCTGTGACGTGCCCAGGACCCTCTGTATATCCTCGTGTCACCCCGTGGCACAGGTGCTCCGATTATCGCCCCCTACAGCTGAGTTGTTGAGGCCCCCATTGTGCTAGTTCCAACAGCTGCTCCTGGGTAAAGTTAGGGTCCCCAACTCTGCCTGAAAGAGCCGTGGGTGCACCTTCCCCTGGCCACGCAGCCTCGTGAGGAGAGCCTGGGCCAGCCCCGAGGACATGACTCCCTGGCTCCGAGGCAGCTTTCCAGAACGAAGGAACGGACCACGTACTGTCGCGGCAGAACTCGACCAGTACTCGGGGGACACCGGATTTGACTGTCTGCAGACCACAGCCGGAGTTTTCACTACGAAGCCGATGAAGAGCGGCTGCCGTTCTAGGCTAGATTGGGAAGGACGGGGCCGTCATGGTCTGCTCAGAAACAGTGCTGGCCATGGGGCCCCTGCTGTGCCTTCCTGCCCAGGTGGCCTGACAGGGAAGTTCCCCCTTGACAGCCCCGAGATCACACGGTGTGGGGGAGAGGGTGTCACAAAGGCCCCGGACTTCGGAGAAAGTGGCAAAGCCTTCTCACACACACATTTGGCAAATAAAAATCAAAAATCAACTTTCCAGTTTCTGTCTGAGCATGCACTGTCCCCTGAAAGCACGAAGTCCCCGGGGCTCTGAGCTGGCTTCCCAGCCTGTGAGCCGCGCACACTCAGGGATGAGCTATAAATCTCAGTCCTCGCCTGTGGAGCAAATAATCCAGAAGGAAAACCTGCGACCCACCCTCTCATGTCATATGATTCATCCCCCAGCAAATATAAATTTCGGGTTAATTTGTATCCCTGCTTCCCTCCACTGGGACATGGAATGACATTTTTTTCTGATAACCACACAGACGATTGCTTTCGGGAAGCCTGGAACGTCCGTCTTTCCATCAGTACCATTTCCTTCTCAGGGAGCTTTGCTGAGCTTAGCCCCGCAGACCACATCCCAGCAGCCCTGGCTCCAGGAAGTCAGGGGCCGGGGTCCCCACTCCCGGCCGTTTGAGGGAGCATTCCACGAGGCCGGCTTGAGCTGGCAGAACACCAGCAAGTGCAGGGGGACCGGCTCCCCAGCTAGCTTCACACCAATGAACTTCCAGGTAGTTGCCCTTCAGGAACCAGGGCTGATTTAAGGAGCCCAAATTCCTGAAGTAGCTCTTACTATCCCTCGCCCCCCACCCCCCGCGTGTAGGAGACTCAGAGAAGGGAAGGCATTTGCCTTGGTCAAACCAGCATGTGGGCTTGGATCCGTAGGATCCCGCAGTCTGTGCTCATGATTCCCGCGCCATGTTCCTCCCAAACGCGGGAAAGACCCTGTCCCAGCCTGGAAGAACTAGGAACACGCTCCGAGCAAACCACGCAGCAGTGCCACAGCCGAGGTGACACAGTGTGCTTACCGCAGGCGATTCGGGAGGGAGATCGCGGCGTTCTGGTCCCCGGTCTGTAGGGCGGCCGCGAGCGGGTGAGGCTCCTTTCACCACGACGCTGCTCCGTCGGTGAACATGACGCCATCCGACTCCCGTCCTCTTCCTCGTGAGGTCCCAGGCTCTGCAAGGCTGGGATTCGGAAACTTGCCACGGAACGCGAAACAGGCAGCTTCTGCTCAAAGCAAATGCTCCTTCAGGAATGGAGAAGGTGGGCGTTTTGCCTCCAGAAGTGGTCAACACTGGCAACACCTGAACGCATTCGAGAACGAGAAATCCACGCCACGTTCTCTGAGCCTTGGGGCCGCACCTGCACTTTTTGAAGATGTCATCCACCGGGAAGCCGTGACCTGAGGCACAGCTGTCTCCAAACTGGCAATTACCCTTCATTTTGCGCACATGGGTTATTCAGCCAGCAACGCCCCCTTCTCCACCCCCACCCCCGCCCCCGCCCCTGCCCCTACCCCCACCTTTCCTTGGCTCCTTCTGAAAACCCCCTGCACTAAAAGTAGCTGTTTCCAAAGTGTGGCCCCTGGACGGCCTGGATCTTCACATGCAGATTCTCGGGCTCCTCACCAGACCTACTGAATCATAAATTCAGACTTCCAACCCCCCCCCCAAAAGAAAAGGTTTCCAAGTAATTCTGCTGCACACGAAAAGCATGAACTCTGGCATTCCGGTGGAAGCGACCCATCTCTCTGCAGCTGCACCGTATTTTAACCGTGAGCCCCGGGCAGCTTTTATGATGAAGTTGTGGGCTGTCACCGCTGGCTCCGAGAGGGGCAGGTAGAAGTTTGAGCTCTTCCGAGAGCCTCCGGAAACCTCCACGCGGGCAGATTTAGGGGCTTCCAAGCCCCGGGTGCTCCTGCCTCTGCCCGCCCCACCCCATAGCACCATAAACATCAGAATACAACTGTGCTCCCCACTGCATGTCATGCTGCTAGTTAGGGAAAGGAAACCCATGATCTGCTTTTTGAATTATTTTTAAACATTTGATTAACGATTCTGATTTCTTGGCAATTATAGCGTTAACTCGGGAGTTAAATTCAACATTATCAAACTTCACGTGTTACAGTTAATAAAATATTAAACTTCAGTCTTGCAAGGGTTTTTCTTTTCTATTTTGGAGCCCAGATTTTATTTCTTCAGGTCCATGGGAAGCTGGCAGGCAGGGTCTCTCTGATGAGATGGCTTGGGGCCCCTCCAGCTCAGGGTGTAGGGGAGGAAGCTCTTCCAGGGAGCAGGGGTGGGGGGGGCGGGGGAAGGGATGAGCTGGCACATCCCACGTTATGGGGTTTCTACAGCCAGTGTGGCAGACTTCTGACATCCTTAGTGACTTCAGAGCAATAGTTCCCTTGGATCTTCCTGTCCTGAGCAGGACTGTTTAAGTACAGACTATAAAACCAACTTGCACATTTTTGTTTATGTATTTAAGAAATCTTTTTTTTTTATGTTGTATGTTTTCAAGATTTACCTTACCAAACAAGATGATAAGTTTTAGAAATTATCTAGTTTTTAGAAATTTAGAAAAAGAAAAAAAAAACAATGCATCAGAGGGGAATGACATTTAGAGACCAACAACCCTTATATTTATTAGTCATATGCTCTGCACTGTTTTAAGCGTTTTGTAGATATTAATACACTAATCCTCATACAAAGTAGGCCCTATGAATGCTATTATACAGATGAGAAGCCAAAATACGAAGTTATTGAGTGACTTTCTCATTATCACACAGCTAGGAAGGGGTGGGCTTTGGTTAGTCATTTCACTTTCTTTAAACTGATCAAGGAAATGTGGTCTGAGAATTTCAAAGACCTTTCTCTATCATGTGTCCTGTAGAGGGGAAGTGGTTTTGGGGTGGTTTTTTTTTTAGGTTTATTTATTGGAGAGAGAGAGAGCAGCACATGTGCCAAAGGGGCTGAGGGGGGATGGAAGTCGGAGAGAGAGAAAATCCCACGCTGACTCTCTGCTGAGTTTGGAGCCCACCTTGGGGCTCGATCTCATGACCCTGAGATCACACCCTGAGCCAGAATCAAGAGTGGGACACTAAAATGACTGAGCCACCCAGGCGCCCCAGGGGAACCCAGCAGGTCTAGTTCTGGGGCATAAGTCTGTCCTTTGCATCACGCTGTAGATACTTCTGCTGTGTGGGAAATTTCTTTTTCATCCATAGTCTAGTGTCCTACCCTCCCCGCCCCCCAACAAAGCTGTGAGCTCCTGCAGGGGCGGTCAGCCCTTCCTCAGCCTTTCAAGCCTCAGAGACTAGACCCTGCTCAGCACAGAGTGGGCCTTCAGTGAGTTTGGCTGGGTCCAGTCAAACATGGCCAGGGTATAGCATGATACGGACAGGCTTTCTAAAATTCTCCATTCACATTTTCTGCATCAGTTTTTGGAAAGTGAAATCGCTAAGCAGAACATGAATTAATTCACTGTCTTCTTTGTGGATCCGGTGAAGTGGGTATAAGCATCTCTTAGTAAATGTAGGTCAATATTTGGGAGTTACGGTGCTCCGCTGAGATGGAATCAGTCCCCGGGGTTCTGTGGAGCCTGTTTTCTTTCTCTAAAGGCATGGCTGAAGCATGTTTTGGTCTCCAAATGTTAACATTTCTGGTGGTAAAACATTCTCCACCTAGAGAGACGGATAAAATACAGGGTCGGTTGGCAAGAGGTGATGACAGCTAACAGGTGTGCACTTGAAAGAATCTATCGACATGGTTAACATGCTTGTTTGAACCTAAAGCCAAAATTGTCTCATTTGTTACTGTCATCAAAGTCATTACTCTGATCATTTGATAATTATCCCTTAGGATAGCAGTCTGACCAGTTTCTACTAATGAAGTTTCCTCAAGTCCTCTTAGTTCCTAGATCAGCAAGCCCTCCCCATCCCCAGGCTGGTTGGCTGTGCCCCTCACTCAGTCCATACCCGGCAAGGACCATCACAGGGGCCCCAGGGTGACCTACCCCTCAAAGTTTACCATGTTCCCAGGAAAACAGATTTAACTTCCTTTTAGTTGCATAGATACTGCCCCCCCATCCCAATATATCTCCAAAAGAGACCGCCAAGAGGTGATTTTTAAAACCTCAATGCCTAAGTTTATGGAGTGTTTACTTAATTGCAATGCTCTATGCTAGGTACTATGGGATTTTTTTTTTTAACTATAAGAATATTCCAACCTTCCAGGAACTGAGATAAGTCATGAACACATTAAAATTCAAATACAAAATAGTTATCATGGGCCAAGAGTCAGAGCTGAATTAGGTCTGGGCTTACCCTTATCACTAGCAGTATGATGTGGGATTAGGTGTTGAACTTCTTTGCGTCTGATCTTCTTTGTGATTATAAGAGGGGTGATAACACGTACCTAAGTGATTAGGAGGATTACATTAATAGATGGGTGGCAATATTGCTGATGACCCACCCCCATTTCCCCTGCAGCTATGGTGGGCAGTTTCCACAGGAAAGAGCTTCCCGCTGTGACTGAATTCTGATCCCATAAAATTCATATGTGAATCCCTACTCCCCAGGGTGACTGAATTTGGAGAAAGGGCTTCTAAAGAGATAGTAGGGTTAAAGGTGGTCCTAAGGATGGGACCCTAATCCAAGAGGACACTAGGAGAGAGAAACCGTATCACTGTGCACATACCACATGGGGACATGGCAAGAAGGCAGCTGCCCAAAAGCCACAGAGAGAGACCCTAGGAGAAACCAACCCTCCCAAAACCCCGACTTCGGACTTCCCACCTCCAGAACTGTATAAAAATAAATTTGTTTTTAGGCGTCCCAGTCTGTGGTATTTTGTTATAACAGCTTGAGCTGACTGAGACACCCCTTCACACCTTCTGGGAGTAATTTTTGGCGCTCCCAGGAGCTTGCTTAGCCTTCAACAGGCCAACCTGGAAGTGGGGGGAGTGAAGGCCTCAAGGGACACCCCTCAAACAGCAGCAGGATGGGAGACAATGGAAGAATGTCCCCACCCTTCGTCGTTGGAAGGAACCATGCTGAGATGGGGTGCTATTTTTTCTCAGAAGGGCCCAGCAGGGTTGAGCCCCATCCCCCAACAGCAATGACCCATTTGCTAATGCAAACTTCATCAGCTTTTCTCCTTCACTACCTTCCTTTGTTCCACACCCTCTCTTGGGACCACTTTCCAAATAAACAATCTTCACATAAGTCCTTGATTTGGGGTCTGCCTTTGGGGGAACCCCAAACTCAAGTCCAGAGGCAGATTCACATTAGCCTCTCTCAGTGAGCAACAAAAAAGTGAACACAAGATTTAGCAATGGAAGACAAGTTACAGTGAAGCAATGGGGTCTGCTGCCACATGAACACCACAGGCAATATAGGATCACAGGAATCAAGAGAAAAAATCCATTTTGCCTCCTGCATGAGCACATAGGAGCATGATTTGGGTAGGAATCTCAGGAGAACTCATTTCAAATATCATGAATACTCAGGGAAATCACGTGATCTCAGTCCAAATCTGGTGAGAGGTTATTCCAAATCTCGAGAGATCTCAGTCCAAGTCTCCTGAGGACTTGGGCAATTCTCATGATCTCAATCCAAATCTCATGAGATTGTGGACTAAATCTTGTGAGATCTCAGCCCAAATCTCATGAGAACTCAGGCTGCTCCAACTAGATTTCTACCCAAATCTCATGAGAACTCATTTCATATATCTTGACATCTCAGGGAAATCCCATTATCTACGTCCAAATCTCATGAGATCTCGGCCCAAATCTCATGAGATTTCAGTCAAATCCCAGGAGATCTCTAAATCTTGTGATGTCTCAGTCCAAAAACTCCTGAGATGTCAGGCACATCTAACGAGATTTCTTCCCAGACCTCCTGAGAGCTTAGTCCAAACCTCATGAGATCTCAGTCCAAATCCCTGAGAACTTACTCCAAATCTCATGAGATCTCGGTCCAAATATCGTGAGAACATACCCAAATCTTATGAGATGTCATTCCAAATCTCCTGAGAACTCAGACATTTCTCACTAGATTTCTACTCAAAGGTCATGAGATCATGTGAGATTTCAGTCCAAATCTTGTGATCTCTGTCCAAATATCATGAGATCTTAGTTGAAATCTCCTGAGAACTCAGTCACATCCTGTGAGATCTCAATCCAAATCTCCTGATATCTCAGTCCAAATCTCATGAGAACTGGGGCATTTCTCAAGAGATGTCTGTCCAAATCTTATGAGAACTCATTTCAATAATCATGAGAACTCAGTGAAATCCTGTGAACTCTGTCCAAATCTCATGATAACACAGGCACATCCCAGGAGATTTCTGCCACTGGAGGCAGTGGTGAGCTCCAGTGCAAGAGGCTGGAAGAAGTTGCAATGCTCTTCCACATCACTGCATGCATTGGTCAGCTGCAGTGCGAGACCCTGGAAGGCATAGATGTGCAGGTTCTCGCCACTGGAAACAGT